CTGGAAACCGTCACTCCCAAATGACAACCTCATAAAATGACACTTTACCACCTATTCCACCTTCACCCTTCAAAACGACATTACCTCGAACACCGTGCACACAAGACCCGTGACCTTAATTATAACAGTCCACTGACTCCTCAAAAGAAAAAGGTGCCTATCCGGCAACACCACTCTCGCTAGTTCTAAAAATAAGCCATCCACAATTGCCTCAACTGGCGCACAATCTCATCACCTACCTGATAACATACAACAACAATTACAATTCTAATCTATCCTTAGATTGTACCTGAAACCATTATGCTCATCAATGCTAAGCATCACACTACAATACCATAACACCTCTACTACCACTCATTCCAACCACTGTTCTATCCTATCATCCCATCGGACCATCAAGCCACTACTAAAGGATTTTTCCTCGAATATCCTTGTGATAACATCATCGTAACAAAAGAACAAGCATTACTCTCAATACTCCCCACAACGATCACTGCATACCACTAGAAAAGAATCTCAATACGACAACACCATGCCGATAAATCCTCAAAACAAAAATGAGCATAAAGCCCAAAATGCTCAACACCCAACTATCACCTCAATACCATCAATGATGACATCAATCATTAACACTTAACCAATAACTTAATCTACTCGTTCTAAGGCGGTCCACGTACCTAAATGAGAAAACCTCATTCTCCAGGTTCATCGTCACTACCTCCCTTCATCACTGTTCCTTAGAACACTATTGACCCCGACAAAACCAAATAGCCTACCAACTAAGCTTACAAGATCAACCTCGTTCCACTCATTCTTATCATCTGTTTACCTTTCCGAATCCTCAAACACTGAGCACTATCTCCTGATACGTCAGACACAATTGAAATACAACTCGAATCCACAACTTTCAAATTCTAAAACATAATTCATTTGATAACACCATACTCACCAGCTATCACTTCATCCATAAACAACCAAGCACTCCAAGGACCCCATACTACCTGCCTTATCGTGCAACCGTGCATTACATGGCTAAAACTGACCGCTATACCTTACCTCGAAACCCTTTAGACAGCCGTGCCAACCCAAAACCCCGCTCATCAACTGAGCAATGCAACCAACTCACTGAAAGTCGATTACCTGCAACACGCTCCCGTAACAATCTTAAATGAAAATCACTCCTCGATAAACCAGTCTCCAAAACAGATTCCTTTAAGACCATGAAATAATCTACATCCGGCAATCGGTCCTAAATCACCATAGATCTACAGATCCAACAAGTTCCCATGACAATAAAAACCAACAAACTTCCTTAAGCCATTCCAATATGCTCAAGATACACCTTTACAATCCATAGACTACATTTGTGACTCAATCAACCCTCGTCACACCTACCACGACTGGTTCGAAAAGAACCTCCACACCAAACCGTGACCTAAGTCACTAACGCTAACCTTCTATGGTCATACCTTTCCCACAAAACCCTCACTCACACACCTGACCTCCACGATCACAAGAACCCATACACCAATGCATGAAACTCATACATAACATAGTCACCATGTTATGAAATACAAATCCATTCAAAAGTTGTGCTCTAAGTACCGCACAAAATGCACCAAGAAGATCAAGATGACTACGCACCAAATAGCTCCATCTACGAGCTAAAAGACCAAGTCATTCATTCTATAAGAACTGGCACCCAACAACCTTGGAGCAACTGAGCTCCTCGCCTACGCACGTCAAAATTTACACAGTCCTCAATGCCGTGACAAGTATCCCACCGTACTAGCAACTATCCCATACTCGACTACATATATACATAAAAGTACGTAGGTATACATACAAGACATACTTATATATATATATATATATATACGCAAAATAACTGGAACATAACCATTGACACGACCGTGTTCTATCACATTAGTTTAAACAATGAGTTCACTAAATTATTATATAAAATTAATTCTCATTTCGCATATTACACACTTGCACAATCCATACTCACAGCTCGCCATTAATATACTCCTCATACTTATCATCATATCGAAATCAACATGCTTTCAATCATTATTATGTTTTTTTTTTTTTTTTTTTTAAACATGCGATCACATAGGCAAATAAGCAAATAAGTAAGTAAGCATGTTTTTCAAAATCGTAAACACATAAGCAATTAAACAAATAAACATGCTTCTTAAATAACAACCACTTTAACACATAGGCACATAAACAACGCAATTCAACTTCCCCATACAATCCCAGGTAGGCCTCTACCCGTAATCCTAATGGTTTTTGAACCATCGCTCTGATACCAAATTTGTAACGACCCGAACCCGTAGGTCCGAACCGTTAGCCGAGTCCTTAACCGAACCTGAGATTAACTAGAGACATCATCATTCTCTCCTACGTCAATACATATTATACGTGTCATTCCGGGTTTATATAAAAAAAAATAATAATAAATAATAATAATAAAATGAGATTATAGCTACAAAGTATGTCAAAACGGTCTACTAACCCATCGAACTCCGTGGAGGAACGTCGTCCGCCACTTGCCATCCGTGTCCTGAAAAATATTAAATATAAGGGGTGAGCAAATTACTCAGTAGGTAGTGCCTAAGACACACCTCTTATAACCCCGTGAATTCAAATAATGAATATGAACAGAGGATAGGGGGCATACTATGTCGGGAAAGAATACAACATTACTTTTCAAATTCAATACAAACAATGTCGTCCATGAATGCAATGCCATGCATGTCAATCCCAATTTCCAAAATCAAGTCCATCACTTTTCAAACTGTTAATATAATCCGTCCGTTGGTGTCTCCGCAGCGACATGAGAGAAGAATTGGCTATTATCCCTAACCCTTGGTACCACCGCGGCGTCATTTGGGGCCCAGATAGTTCAACTATGCTAGGGTGTTCCCCTAGTTCCCTCTAGGTTATATTAACACCACGATCCTTTGGTGACTCCGCAGCAATCGGATTTTCATAAAAATCACTTTAATCAAAACTTTGTCCCAAAAATCCCTTTTTAATTCACTTCAAATCATTTTGCCCTTTTTTTTTCCATGCCCAATGCCATGAATGCGTGTCACATACTTTGACATTACTATAAGAATAAATAAATTTTTACTACACACTTTAACATGCTTCCACATAGCAATTTCTAGCAAGATCTTAAACATCATGGCATGAAAATTTACATTTAGGCCTGCTTTTCATACAATTTAATTAATACACATAATCATAGATTTCATTTATAACAATAAAATTATTTTCAAATCAAGCATGTTAATTTGCATAACATCAATTACACACAAAATCATATACTTCATATACACAATTAAATCACTTTAGGGTAAAATTAACATAATTAGCATGCTAGGACACTAATTAAGTAAAATTAACTTAGCTAGATTGTGTGGATTAGAGACCCCTACCTCAAATTAAGCAAAAAATTCCCAAATAGGTCTCAAAACCGAAATCCCTAGAGTGCACTAAAAGTGAAATTGCTTATATGGATGTGAAGATCTTGCCGTGCTCTTTGAGTTGCCGCAAACAGCTTCCAAAATTTTCAAGTGGTTGAAGAGTAATAAAGAGAGAAGTTGTAAAAGAAAAAGAAAGAAAATAAAAACCAGCGAGAGGGAAAGCTAGTCTGCGTAATGAGAAAGAGAATAAAAATAAGGGTCCCGCTGTTATATATAAAATATCTTTTTAATTTTAACAAATTTAAATATTCATCCACTAACTATGATACAATCACAATTAAACATGTATCACACAATTGTACGTTAAATAATACTACATGAAGTGTTATGGACTCAAAACACAGCCTTCGTGTACAACAATTCCGGTAGCGGGTCTCACACGGAACCGTCCGGCCCGAAAAATTTAAAAATACCAAAATGACCACCCTTGCATTTTAAAGAGTCCTGAATTCAATGAAATGCCCCAACAACTCTCAGACACAACCGGTATACTCCACAGTGTCCGGTACGCAAAACAACAAAAGACGAAAATACCCTCGAGAAATCTGAAAATTCCAGAAAATGGAAAATCGTAAAAATTAGAAATATTACAGTTTCATGCAATGGGTTTTAATGGCATGATCTATAATGAAACTGTACATTTTGAATTCACTGGATAATTTTGTTAGTTAATTTAATTATTTCAACCTCCAATGTTTCTTGTTGGTTTTGATTTTCCCTGTTACTACGAACTTAACAAACGTGGGAATGATTGGTGGAAGGAAAATGATTTTTACTGGATCAGCTAAAGTAGTTGGCTGACAATTTTTGATTGGAGTAATGCTCTTAAGAACCCCCTCTCATGGAAGAGTCACAAGCTCTCTTTTTTTATTTTATTTTTAGATATATTAAATAAATTTTTTATTTTAGATATATTAAATAATTGATTCGACTTTTCATATATTTTTAAAAATGTATTACCCAATTCTGATTAATTATGAAGAGCGCATTGCTCTTCTTATGAGAATGACCTCTTAATAGTATTACTTTATAGTTGTAAGTTAAACTATACACTTTAACATGTTGTCTTACCTAGGTGTGCGTAGTGAAGGTGTTAAATGCAATTATTTACACGCTATGCTAATTTTGGATGACATTTTCTTCACTAAAGAAAAATGCTAGAATTAATTGCTAATTAATTGCTATTTGTTACTCGAAACTGTTTTTGTCCAAGTTTGGGCATGTTTGAACAAGGATCTAGATCCTCGTGCTAAAGAGAATTAGATGGCAACGTTCGAAAAAGATCCTTGCCTTGGTTGTGCATTGCATAACATTTTCTTTGTTTTGGTTAGGGTTCACCGAGAACATCATTCCTACTGGTGAGCTTAAAAAGGGTGATCCATTGTCACCCCTCTGTGCCGAAGTGCAGGTCAACAAGACATGCAGATTAATTTGAAATTGGTCTCATGAACTGGCATTATATCTATTTGAAGCACGTAATTTGTTGAAAATGATTCAACAAAATCAAGCAAAACAAAGACATTTTTCCAGCAATTCCCCTAAGAGTAGTAGCCATAAACATCCAAGTCAGAATATAATACCACCACAAGCTAATAATGTTACACATTTTCTAAAACATCCTTCATCCCTTTTATGAACAACTTTCAGTTAAAACGAACAAAAAGAAATGAAGTGGCTTAGAAACAGTAGTACGTTAAGAACCGATCAAGAATGCATGCTGTAGTAAAATCCAAGCCCAGTGCCTCTGAGATAACAAGGTAAGGTATCCTGGTTGATCACTTATGATGCAGGGAAGAGCCATTTCAGAGCAATCATGTAGCACGTAGCTCTAATTCAAAGCGTTCTTGCTCATTGCTCTAGATTAATGCAACACATGGAAATCAGTTAGCAATAGAGCTAGCAACAGGAACATGAAAATTATATACATAAAAATTAACAGGTTAATACAGTACTTACTGCGTGGGACTTCCTCCAAAAAGCTGTCATTTGAAATATACAAAAAATCGTCAGAATGACATTAAAGAAACATAACCACCTCCCCAAAATCATCAGAATGAAATTACAGAAACGTAACCTCCCCCCCAAACCAACTCGTGGTCTGGGTTCTTCAACCTTTAATGAGTCCACAGACTTCGGGAGTTCTGCAATTTCACCAAACTTATCTGGTGACTCTGGTTTCCATTCAGCCTGTGTGAATATTTAACAGAAACAATCAAGGAACTGTATAAAGCATGCTGATTCAGGATCTAATTAGGAAAATAATCTAAAACTCACTGACCTGATACAACTTGTCAAACTTTTTCTTGAAGTACAATGATCCATTGTGGTGAAAAATTTTAATCCTTCAATAAGACGAAAATAAATATGTGAAAATTTTGTTTACTTATGACCTGACTAATACCCCTCCACCGGTCCACCCTGACTAGGTACCTTGTTATCATGCACAGATCAACAACTATGGGGAAAATAAAACAAGCTTATACTGTCTTTGTTAGGAAAAAAAAAAAAAAAAAAAAAAAATCTAAATTTGTGAGTTATACTTGGCATGTGGCAACTCTGAAAGTGAGTCTGACTTGTATTTCCCCATTAAAAATAAAGGGGTACTATGAACTGGTTACAACTAAATAAACGTAAATGGTTATGGTTAAGAAAGTTGAACTCCTAAGATTTAAAAAGGGCTAGCCTAGTTGCACGAGGCTCCTGCCATTGCGGGGTTTGAGGAGGGTCAAATTTACGCTGCCTTACCTCCGCATGAAGAGGCTATTTTCAATTTCGAACCTGTGACCCCAAATCACAACAGAGCAACCTTATCGTTGCGCCAAGGCCCACCCATAACACCTAAAGACCAATCAGCTAGAAAAATCTTATCGCTGTGATTTTATTAGAGGCCCACTGAAAAGGGTTCCTACCAACTAAACAATCCACATCACTTTCTTGGTAGGCTATCTCAAAAGTTCCATCATTCATTTCTATCACATCTTTGTATTGCTCTTCCATACATCAAAGTTCAAAATAATTACGGTTTAGTTCATTTAGACCCCTTCTGGTTTGTCAATACTTCACCCCCACCCCCCACCCCAAATTGCCAAAATTCAGTCAGGCATTGTCAGCAGACAAAGCCAAATAAATGAATTGAATGACTAATATACCCTTTTTGTCACTTTTCTAAATAAGTTTAACCAAACACCTTTTATGATTTTATCTCCCACCAACAATTACCCTATTCGTTGAACCAAACGCTCCAGTCAAAGTATTATTTTACCCAAATAAAGAATACCAAGGTCTGCCACCACGCATCTCCGTCGTCTATATATATATATATACACGCAGAGAGTTGCTTAAAGGGGGTTCACCTTGCTGCTTCAGTCAATGCATATACATTCATACGTATCTACATCCATGTGTGGTGAGCTTCAGTATATATATATATATATATATATACTGAGAGAGACCCAACCGGCGAAGCAACTCCAGCAACCATGAACACCGGTGAGAGCTTGTTTGAGTTTGGGTTCTCTGCAAGAGCCATGAGTTGCCGATGCGAGCACCAAATTCTGTACTTCAACGCCTTCAAATCTACGGCTGTGTAGTCACCGTCGTAACGCCAGACAAGGACGAGCTAGCCAAATCAAAGACGCTGACGGCCGAGTTATGTACTGGGACGGGACAGGGCGTGAGTGTACTTGACCTCACAGCGGAGGACGGTGGCTCTCCGCCGCTCTGCATCATCGCCGACATCTTCTTCAGCTGAATCATTACCGTCACACGTGAATTGGGTATCTTCAACACGATCTTCAAGCTTGAATACGACCAATTTTACTTAATTGTTCCTATAATTACCGTTTATCAAGCTTTAATTTCTCATACTAATTCGTATCTTATTCTTTTTCAAGGTCGCCTCCTTTCATGGCGGTGAAGGTCTTGCAAAGAATTGCACCAAAGAAGCAGCATAATGAGTTACAAAATTCTCAACCTTCTTGACCGTCTCATCTCCCTTTCACATGGTCAGACGGTCAACAGCGGTCACCGGCGAGTCTTACCCAATTCTTCGATGAATTTGGACACCCAATCCCGGAGAATGAATACCAGACCGAGTACACTCTCAATATGATCTGCGAGCTCGAAAGATACATATGGTTGAATTGATGGTTTTACCAACGGGCCAATGGTGTAGCGGTATAAGCCTCTTACCTCCCAAAGGGAGGTCAAAGGTTCAAGTCTCAAAATTGATGGTTTTATTAGATAATTTCAGTGTTATATCGAAGAGAATGATGGACTTGATGAGTTAAATTGAAGTACTGTGGGTCGGATTCGAAGAAATGGTGGGATGGAGGTTATGAAACCCAGAACTTTTCTAGGTTGGGAATGGCCAATATGGGCCAAGATTTTAACAGATTTTTTAAATATCTGTGTAGCTTGGTTCATGGGGAATTGATTCGTGGAGAGATTTTGAAGACTTAATGGTGTTATATGGTCGGAAATCATGGTGGAACGGGCTAGTCATGAACAAAGGGTTGTGGGTTTTCATTGTTGGGGAAAAAGAAGACTCAAACGACACTGTTTTATTGAATTAGTTTCTTTTTATCTGTATATAGTCTATAGGCAAGTCTGTAGCCAAATATGACTGTTGGAGGGCAATCTAGGTATTATAATTTACTTTTTGGTTGATGTGAGCAAAAAGTGTCTCTGACTAGCTTTGACCGTTGAAGGAGGGGGATACTGATGTGTGTCAGAAAAAGTAGGGGGTCTGACTGAAATTTTGCAAATGTGGGAGAGTGTCCTTAAAGTATTGACAAACTACAGGGGATCTAAATGAATTAAACCCAAATAATTATAGTGAAATGAAATTAAAGACGCTCTTTCCCAGTCACACAATACACAAAGAACAATTAAAACTCAACATACGCATTGTAAACTTGTAGTCTTGGAGCTGTGGTGGCAGTCATGAAATAGCATCCATCTGGAGACCATTCGCTTGTTACTGAGCATTCAGCCTTTGTGGTCCGCAGCTGCTTTTTCTCCATATAGTCCCAAAATGCCTGAACATAAATGAGCATAAAATTGAGACAGAAACTGGACATATTGTTGATACCTAAAGTAAATACTTAGGGAGCTACTTCAACTTAAAATAAGGGGGAAAAAAAGGCATTTGACAAGAAAAATATGCAAGTTGACTATGCAAGAGAGATCATAAAAGCTTAGCTACCAATGGGCCAGTGGCCTTGCGATATCAGCCTCTTACTTCTCAAAGGGAAGTCAGGGATTCAAGTCTCAGAAGAGACAAGTGTGTGTGAGTACCAATTAGGAAAAAAAAAAAAAAAGACCTTAGCTTAGCATATGGATAGATAGACACACAAACTGACAACCAAAGTCCCCCGACCTCCAACCTCAGCCATGCAAGTAAACATACAAACACATATGGAGAGAGAGTTTTGTAGTGGATTTTTCTGAGCAACCCGATAGCAACATACTAATGTTATGCTCTGTTCGGTAGGAAAGAAAAAATTTGGATGAAAGGGAGAGAAGAAGGGATGGATGAGATATTGTCTTTCTTTCTTTTTGTTCAGTTGGATGGAAGAGAAGAGATTAAGCTCACAATTTATTATGTTCGTTAAAAGACTAGGAAAGATAAAATTTTAAATTGTTTTTACCATTATGTCCAGTAATATGTATAATATTGTAATTTATAAAGGATAATACTGTTATTTAAAACTTGTGTAATTTAAAATATTATTTAAATTAAAACTTCTATAATAGTCCATTTTTCTTCCTTCCACTTCCGCCCAATTTTGGACGGATGAAAATTTGTAAAGAGGGAAGGATGACACATCCCTCCTATTTTCTTTCCACACCTCTTCCTTCCTTCCTACCTACCGAACAAAGCATTAGTGTCTTTTCATGTACAGAAAACATCCATAAATGTCATTCAGCTAAACTTATAATTCAACCCAACTAAGCAAAACCTTGCGCTAACTACTTAGCGGGCTAGATGAATCCCATCCCTCCATTCGACTATACTGTCATAAAATAACAAAATGAATCACTGCACCCATAGCCTCTAGTGAATAGGTTAGATAACTTCATATAAATCTAAATTGGCTTGTTTGTATGTTGAGCATTCTTTAATAACAGTGCCATATCTGAATCCCCCTCCCACTATAACTCGAGTGGTGAAGGAGTTATTGCCTATCCAGACCACCAACTGCCTGCCTAATCCTTACCAGACTGGTGGAAGTCATGCGGCTAACTAATGAATGCCACAGCAAGAAAGCAGTTAGCAACCAAGTGGTTGCCTAACTATGTTGTTCGTTATGCACTTTGCTTGAACATCAGATACAGTTAAGTAGTATGTCCTGTCAAGAAGACGGTCCTTACCAAAAGATCTATGCAGTTAAACCATCAATATGATTAGAAACACTTAAACTAGTCCTCCAAAGTTAAACATATCACTTAAAGATGAAAAAAGCAATTAATAGTCTCAAATTAGACCTAGAATGAGGGCGTCCAAAATCCATTGACGAGACCACGTACAAGGCCACATATTACAATAAGAACCCATTCGAGAATCAGAGATGAAACAGAAGTAACCATTAAGAACAACATACCATATCACCAGGCAAGTTCCCAAAGCCAACCAAACATAAAACTGTAAAAAGGTAATTAAGGCCACAGATGAAATTGTAAAAGTACAATAATAAGCAGTCTCAAGGCCATCTTCACTTTCCAGAAAAAGTATACTAGTTCACATTGAAAAGTACAATATAATTAACTTAAAAAAGGATACACCTCCCTTTTGGGTTCCACCTGATAGTATTATAAGGGCCTGTTCCAAGCTCAAGTAGAGGATTGCACTTCTTGTCAAACACCGTGGCCTTTGCAGGCGTGACTAAAGTACGTCAAGGAACAGTTAAAATATGCACAGAAGCAAGAAAAGAAACAGAACTTTCACCTACTGTGGTAGGGGTGGTTTAATAGCAATATATAATTTTAAATAGTTATCTTAAATTGCCTTTATTAACCCTCTAAAGATTCCAGTAAGAACACCCAGACAAAAAACGTGTAGTATCTAAGAAGAAAAAATAAGTCTTGCATTCGACTCAGAACTGATGCATGGATTCTTCAGCATTAATCACCTATTACCGGATGCATGTCACGATTGAGATCACCACTGGATGAGGCCCACACACCTAATAGTAAACACGCATAGTCATCACTACAAATGATCTAGGCCCGTTTTGCCAATAAGCTGCTCTGGATTTTGTGCTCTCTCCCTCTCCCTCTCCCTCCCTCTCTCTTTTTCTTATTTTTCTTCTTAAATTTTCTTTCTTTTTTTTTCCTTGACAAAAGAACACAGACAAACGACTCGAGATTAAATAGAACAGCTCAAAACTGGATAATGTTTTGTGTAATCCATTAAAAAGTGGGCACTAATCTTCTACTTGACACTGCAGAAAAGGTACAATGCTCGTGGAAGTCAATGTACCACTATATTAGTATTGCCTTTATCCCGTATGCACGGGGTCTGCAACACGGATTCTCTTTGTCCATTCTTTTCTATCATAAGCCATTTCTCCTATTAGATTTTATTATATAAAATCATTCCTTGTCACCCTCCACTCAATGGATTGTCCTAAAAGAGGTGACAGTTCTCCTTGAACTTTGAGATCTTTTACTGATTTTTCTATCAAAAAACATGATCTTTCAGTAATATGCTGCAAAGCGAAGGATACATCCATAAACAACAGCAAATTCTGAACCGGAATAGGACCATTGAACATCATGTAAAGGCCCTTCTTTACCTGCAATGTCTCCATCAGACAATCAATTACAGAGAGAAATCAAAGTTGTATAAACAAGTTCATAACATAAGAAAAAGATGACATACGAAGAGGCACAAGGCCTTCATGGGTTCCATCTGTTGTAAAGTAGTTTAGTTTTGATTCTCCATAGTAACTGTGGTTGGTTTTATCAACATCTGACTGCACCACAGCTAGAAGCCCTGTAGAGCCATAGTTCCAACTCATCTGCACAGTCGAACCACAGAAGAAAATTCGTTGAGCAAGAGGTTGCTTCTGCGAGTCCTTCCCACAAGCAAATATCTGAACACTGGCGGGAACCTCCTACAGAAGAGATAAATAAGCTAATGAACTTCAATTACTCAACCTTGGGGACGGTTTAGGGGAGGGTCTTGTTGGAGTTTGCACCGTTAACCCACCACCACCAAAATAATAATAGATAGATAAAATAGAAATTACAAATATATTTGATAAAATTGATGCACCTATTCAATAGCAACGAAAATTATCACTCTAGATTAGATGGATGCTGACCATTCAAAGGTCTTTCAAACTCCAAGAAAACTTTGATAGAATATTTTATCTGATTATTAAAATTACAATTCATACTTCTAAGGAATGGATTTAAGTTCTAATTTTCGAAAACTCTAATAAATATAATTATTTTGCACCATCCAATTCATTTGAAAATTCTTTACATTTCAAAATATCATTCATCTTTGACTTTTTACTCTAAAATTTTCAATTTAATATGCTTGTCTTGGTTTGTAATAAGACTCGTCGCATTCGAGACAGAAACTAAAGTTTGAAAATTGATTTGTTAGCAATTCTAACAGATGCAAACTTCTGCATGATTCTTAATCCAAAGAGTTATTTAACATTTTTTTGCTTTTATTAAGTTCAAAGAGTGACCTAACAATGGAAAGGTCCAGCTTGTAATAAAATTTGGATGCACAACAAACATCTAGAACACAGTTTAGATCTGTTCCTTATATATTCCAACTTCTCAATGTTGTCTTCAATAATTTCCTATAAGCAGTCTGGAGATATGGAATACAAACCCTAGATTCTGATACAAATGCAGCCACATGGGACCCAGGTGTCTTAGAAAGCTCTACTGCAGCTACTCCTTGAATTCGAAGTCGATATATAATTCCTTTTGAGAAATCCTCAGGATCAAAAAATTGTATCTCATTTCTTGCTAGACAGCAAGCAAGGGCTTCATCCGAGCTAAATCGCATTGAAGACCTGAAGTGTTCAAAAATCAAACAATTGAAGTTCAAGTTCCAATTCTTAGAAATGAAGGATTCACATTTTTCGTTTTCAAAGATAATCCCATAGATGTGTCACAGTAATCCTGTGCCTTAATAAAAAAAATTAAAAAATAAAAGAAAGGAGAATACAAAATACCACGTTGTTTTTATCATGTTCATCTGAAATAGACCATAAACAGAATCACCAGTCTCTGTCTTCCACAAGATCACATTCTTTTCCTCTGGTGAAGAGGACATCTGGAAGGTTTGTAGATAAGTCCCATTAGGGGACAAGGTTGCTGCAAGAACATTTGGGACTTCAAAGGATCTTATCTCTTTGGAGCTTCTGCAATCATAGATGCTAATTACAGAATCAGATTTCATCACCATGAGTTTAGATCCATCTTCACTAAACTTAGAACTGGTGCATGGAACTCTTTCAAACTTGAGACGAGGTTGACCATCGCTAAAAGGGGGACCAGTCCAAAGGGAAAACTGCTCTGGTTCTCTAACTGGGAAGGAGGTTAGACAAAAAAAAAAAAATTTAAAAAAAAAAAAGACAAGAAAAAAAGTTAACATTTGTTAAGCAGTAAAGAGGTACCTAAGATCTCCAAAGAAGGTGGGGGATCAGCGATTGCCATTACAGGCTAACAGGCGCTATTCTGAAATCAGTTGCAAAAACAGTTATCAATAAGGTCTCTACAGAAGCTCCGGTGTTTAACACTAAAAAGAAGATACAAGAAACCATTACTATTACCATCTATTTTATTAATAAATAAAGATGCACCGAGTTAAGAGCGCAAATGTACAGAGTGGGTCCTATTTATGGCTTGCTTAAGATGCACTTGAAAATGTGAGAAGTTCCAACCTCAAAAAATCAAGGAGCTCCAAAATGTGATCAGGTACGATTTGCTAACAAGCAGCTAACGAGATTTAAAACGTGAACTTTTAGTTGTTCATCTCACGAGTCAATGTCAGCCTAGCATCTAACGAACAAGTTATGAGCCAATCTTGAGTAGCTTGGTTCACCTTACAGCCCAACATCACACAAACAGCAAAAGGCTGTACAATTTTTATAATTCAAAATTCATTTTCACTTTTAAAAAAGGGGAAAAAGAGATGAAATGAAATGCAACAACCAGTGACCTCTTTCTTCGATACACCTTATACTAGTCCTTGATAGCCAAGTATCCAAAAACTTTGAACGAGAGAGTAATGTAAACACTCTGTTGGCAGTTCCTTAAAGCTTTTTATGAATGATGGTGTTCCTTTTCATTTTCTTCTTTCTTTTTTGTTTCCACTACAGGGATCATCACAGTGATAGATCATACAACAGCATGGATGTCAAAATAAAAGAAAACAATTTGAAGAACTTGGACACAAGATGATACTGGAAAAACGCTGTAATGAACTTCATTTTCGGTTTATATAAATCAAAAGCAAATTGAAATATACGAAGAAGAAAAAAAATAAATAAAAAATATCTCTAATTTGACGAGTAATTCGAGTGCCAATTAAATGGTAAGCTGATTGCAATGCAGATTTATCACTTAGTAGAAGAGTTTGTATTAACTGGCATTCAGTTGAGATATCAATAAAGTATACACATCTCCGACTACAAATGTGTGGAATATCTAACTACTTCCTAAAAAAATGTGCATAAATATATCAATATAGAATGCACAAAAACCCTATATATCAAAATGGAAAAATTGATGCATAAGACAAAAACGTGTATTTAATAAGTACGAAATTGATTATCAATAAGTAGGGTTTGCGAGAGAGAAGCTTACCGGTAGAACCAACGACGATGGTATCGCGAGAGCTAACTCTGTTTTGTGCCGTCAGATCGACCACCTAGGCCGAGGGCAAGGTAGCCTGGGTAGGGTTTGGTTGTTTGAATTTCTCTCCTCTCCTCTCCACTGAATAAGTCCCTCCCACTTTTGCCATGCCCGCTTTGCAATCATAAAGGGCAAAAAAGTAAATCAAAACAATTATGGGTAAATTACAAGAAGCTTCCCCATGGTTTACCATAATTATAAGGATCTCACCTATAATTTTTAAAATAACACTAACATCCCGAATATTGAAACATTATTGAACATGCCTCCCCTACCGGCTCCTTCTAGTGACGGACTGTCAAATGAACTATTCATTATTAATTGGCGTTGAGTTGTATTTTCTCTCTCTAAACAAATATATCTTTGTCCACATTCATTTGCATGGAACTTTTAGATCTAAATTAGGTTTCAATCCACTTGCTTTCGAATTAAATCACATATAATACGGGTGAAAAACAATTGATTGTAGGAAATTTTCCCTCAAAACTCACTCTTTGTGATTCCCCTATTCTATGAAATCTCTAACAAAAGTATACCATAAGTGGAAGAATGCTTCCATTGAAGTCTATTTCTCCCCACGACTATTTTTCTCTCTCATTTTTTTTTTTTTACTTTTGCATTCGATTAGCTTTTGACATTGAGTCCTTTTTGTATGTATGTATATAAGCTTACTTTAATTAAGGTAATATGGAAATTTTAATTTATTCAGTACATGACATCAACAAATTTCATCTTTTAGTCACGTTGACAGTTAAAAAGAGAGGTCTGTGTAATAACGTTTAATTATTATAAAGGTTAGTGTAATTTTGAAAATTAAAGAGAAGGTCCCTGTAATTATGACAAATCATAAAAGATGTCTGAGTAATTTACCCAAAAATTATTTGATTGAAAAATGACTAGACTTGCCAAAGTCCACTAGTGTAACCTCTCCATCATTTAAGAAAGGGGAGAAGTTTGAGCAAGTGTTGGTAAAAAGTGTTTGTCTATAAATATGATCTTTGAAGTTACTAGTACTAAGATATGTAGGAGAATAAAATAGGAAATAGAACATGTGAGAGTAGAACTAAAAAATACTAAGAAGTTGGATCAATTGTGCGAATGTGATACAATTTGGAATGATTAAAAAATTCATTAATTTATTTCTTCTGTCTAAATAAAATAAACTAAAGGAACGTGTTAAAAGATTATGTGGTAACTACTTATATACTTTGTAGGGATGGTAATGGGACGCGATTGGGGCGGGTTTGGCTAAACCCTACTCCGCCCTATAGAAAATTTGTCATATCAACTCTGCCCCTACTCCGAAACGGGTTTGTAATTATCATACCATCTCCGCCTCTACTCCGGTAGACAAAGTAATAACTCCGCCTTATGTATTCCATTTTATTGCGAGGCACAGTGGGGGCGGATAGAGTTATGCCACTTTTATTATATAGTAAAAAAAAAAGAAAAAAGAAAAAAAAGAAAAACAGTCCAATGTGTTTAAATTTACAGAAAGAATAATTAGATGCAGGGCATTACTAATGGGTACAACTCCTGGAATGGATACATGAAAGTTATGAAGTCATATTAGAATATAGAAATTATTAGATTGACTTCTGAATTATAATGTGAGAAGATAAAAATTATGAAAAAGCTGGAGTTTTGGTTTCCAATTTGCTCAGTGGTTGGTTATAAATTAGAAATGCATCCAAATTTCTATGTCTTACAAGGGTATTATGATCGGTTGATCAACTATACATGTACCTTCGCAATAGCACGAATCATTGTAAAATAGGGCTATTGATCGGGTAAGTCGAACCACTGGGACTGCGCTAGTCTTAAGGCAACCTAAGTGTCTAGAGTCATTTTAGAGTGACAAGGGGTATTCATAGAGGGTTTGTTTTGTTTGTCACTAAACTACAAATTCAGAATGCATACAACAATAAATTGAAGGAGATTAAAAGAGAAGATTTAGAGAAGGAAGTCTAGGGAAGTGAATCCACTCCAAACCTCTACACAAGCTAATTATATGATTGATTTGGAGAATTAATGTAGGAATGACCTTGATAAATAGCAATTCATGACTACTATATCATCTTTAAGAAATTCAATTAATTAAAATGTAAGAACAACCTATCAAAGCTCCACATGCTTAAATTACCTAAACTATGGTGCAATCCTCAACATGCTCACTAAGCTAGAGATTGTCAAACAAGTAATCAATTGATGAGAGCACATGATAACAAGTCACAAGGTTAATCCATCAAAAGAAATTCTTAAGCAATGAATTAACAAGCTACTCAAAATCATGCCATTAAAACCATTCCATAGTCTTAGCTCCATTGTCACTATGAAACTACAAGCCATACAACCATGAGATTAAATCATCTAAGACAAGAGTATTTAATGCAACATGATCTTTAGAACATTAAAACATTCATTACATTATGTAACATGCTCTAGATTATGGAACTAGTCAAATACACATTTCATTCCCCAAAATAAATCAAAAACTAGATATGCTTACAAGGAGGAGTTTCATCACCTCCCTAGATGGAGGTTTAGTTATCCATGGATACAAAAATGGAAGAAGAAGAAGAAGACTCCATCTCCATTTTCGAGCTTCCTTCTTGAAGCTTCAAGAACTCCTCCTCCTTGCTCTCTTCTCTCCCCTCTATCTTCCCAAAATGAAGCTTAATGTATTGTGTGGCTCTTATCCTTCTTATCTACCACCAAAAGGCCACCAACCAACATCTCCAACCACTTCATTAAAGAGGAAAACAAAATGAAGAAACCAAGGTGCAAGTGGGCTGAAATGAGCCATTTCCGAAGGGCATTCTGCCCAAAATTCGAGCACTCTAAGCAAGGCCTCGAGCACTCGAATTTAGTGTAAAAAACTCCATGCTTCACTTGCTCCGCCCATACCTACTTTGCTTAAACAGCCATAACTTTGTGCTCCAAACTCCGAATGATGAACCGTTTGAAGATTTAGAAAGCTAATTCAGAGCTCTAAATATTTCATGTTTTGGTGGAGATCCAATTCTCAAGGATGGTTGGTCGAAAATGAAGATCAAGGCAGAATTTCATTGCTGCCAGGTAGTTCTGCGCACCTCTGGTAACAAGGCCATAACTCTCTGCTCCAAGTTCCGAATGACAAACTGTTTGAAGATTTAGAAAGCTAATTCAGAGCTCTAAATCTTTCATGTTATGAGGGAAGTCCAGTTCTTGAGTTTGGAAGGTCAAAATGGTGAGCAAAGTCCAGGTTCTACTGCTGCCAGAATTCAGCATTGGCACCTTTTGTTGCTCAAGATTCCACAAGGCCTTATTCTTGTTCCATTTTGGCCAATGAACCTGAAAATGCATAAAAACATAGAAATGAAGATAATCTACATAAATTAACATACAACGGACTTTACTAATGCAATTTAGGGCGTTTGAATATACAATATTCGGCGCTTATCACACCCCCAAACTTACATTTTGCTAGTCCCTTAGCAAAACTACAATGAAAAACTTAATGAAAAGACAACCATGGGCTTGCTACTACAAAAATATCATCCATGGTAAAATAAGATATATACATTGCTCAAAAATAACTTGAAATAGAAAAAGAGCTGGAGATGGGGTCATTGGGAAGACTACCTTGCATATATGAAGCATTGATACAAAAATTGGCTAAATACATTTCCACATACATGCATCAACATCAAAGTCTATATAAATAACTCAATTATCATCTCTTGAATGGAAATCAACTCTAGCTTCAGTGAAAGTGAATTGGATTATCAACATGCGGCTTTTACTTTCTTTTCCAATTCCAAAGCACAAGTTTTCAAATCATTGAATTCCCCTTTAAATGAGGTCCCTAAGGCATGATTTTATTTACAAGACAACTTTTGTTGCTTGTTGACAATTTTTTTGTAACTCATAAGCGAAACATAGAATGGTTGTACAATGCTGAAGTCCCTTAAGCTTTCTAACCAACCTATGTAGCAAGCGTTAGGCCAACGACTCCCAAACCAGATGGCTTTAGGGTGTTAAGTGTAGAGACACTCCATAGGGCTTAATAGCTCAAGTTGGAAAGGCTACGAACTCCAACGAACCATGTTTATTACCAGTTTATTTTTTTGAATGACCGTGCAATGTTTAAGTCCCTTAAGCTTTCTAACCAACCCCTGTAGCAAGCGTTAGGCCAACAACTCCCAAACCAGACGGTTTTAGGGTGCTAAGTGTAGAGACACTCCTAGGGCTTAATAACTCGAGTTGGAAAGGCTACGAACGTCAACTGATCATTATTTTCTTTCTTTCTCAGTTTTTTTTTTTTTTTTTTTTTTTTTTTTTTTTTTTTTTTAAGATTCATGCCAAAAGTATTCATCTATTAGGTTCATCAAATCAGATTAACTAGGGCAAGGTCAAGGTCAATCAAGTTGCATGCCTCACAGTTAAGTTTCTAATGTGCATCTGTGCATTGTGAAGCTTAAAAGAGTGTCAAATCCAGCGAGAATTTAATTGAGACATTTATACAGACTAATTTGAATCTACATGATCATTTCAACTCAAATTTTCTTTATTTTCAAAAATATCATCAGCTTCTATGCACAAAGTTTTAAACATATGCTTTCATCTCCAATAGGTTTCAAATTCCATTATCATTGCTTAGCAAAAATGTAAAACCAAAAATACATAAATGCACCCCCAAACTTGAATGTCACAGTGTCCTCAATGTGAGAAGACAAGTAAATGAAAATAAGAACAGAGAGGGTTAAAGAACAATAATACCAAGCGGAGTGAGGAAGGCAAAGGTTTCCATCTATGTGAATATGCAAGTGCTTCCCCCAAACTTGGACATGAAGACCTAGCAAAACACAACTAATATACACATGTAAAAGTATAGGCTCTTAAGAAAAATTAAAACAGAATTAAAAACACTAATCTGAATTGTAGTGTAAGATAAAAATCCAAACAAAACACAAATGCAGACATTAGCCACAAGTGTAAAATGGATAGCAAAAGAATGCCAAAAGTGTGCCAATTTTTTTTTTTTTTTTTTTTTGTTTTTTTTTTTGTTTTTTTTTGAATGGCATGCATGAGGGTGTTGTGGAGGAATTGAGGATGGGG